TCCAGAGGCTGTGGTGCTAATGCCCAAGGACAACCCAAAGCGGGGAGGTCGAGGCCGAAATTTGCCATCAAGTTAGTGGTCGAAGGTACTGCAACTGAGGACGTGTCCTCAGTTCACCCAATGTGACAACGGTTTGCTTGGGTTTGCATCTGCCACCCTTTTCACAACCAATAAGCCCTAAGCCACCAATTCAAGCCAAGGATTGCCCAAAGACTGACGCAGAAATCACGCTTTGCTCAAACTGAGCAAGTGTCATAGTGTACAAAATTTATGTTAAGGGCTCTCAATGTCTTTTCTCACAGTTGCGGGCCTATTGTTTCCCAGTGGCCGAGTTTCCGCATACAAGCTGCTGGCAGAAAGGGGTAGCCAAGAAGCCGCCTGCGGAGTTCACGTAGTATGTAACACTTGCATGAGTGCAAAACCAGTTGAACCCATTGAACACGTTTGACTGTTAGCACGTCCCAAGAGAGAATCCTCCTCGTGAATCTTATGTTGGCAGTTTGAGAAGGTCAGTGCCAGCTTTGTTTCAATCGGTTCCTGTCACGCCTAGTTCTTTCCATCCTGCCCAGAGGCTCCAATTCGATGGATTTAGGGCCCTCAAGCAACCAGGTTCTGAGCGGGTCCCACCAACCAATTCCCGGGGTGTCTAATGGGTCAAAATGGTCTTCCATTGAAAGCCGAAGCCGATCGGAGCCTCTGGGTGACGCAATGGGCTGAAAGTCAGCTTGCTGTACTCGGTTCAGCTTGGTGGAATGCAATGCCCCTGGGTGACTTAGGGAAGTGAAGCCTGTAAGCCCTCGGCAACAGGGTTGTGGGACATGGAATCCACGAATCTGCGATACAACAAAAAGGGCCTAACCCCAAAGACGTGAAAAAAAAAGCATGTAAAGGGGTTGAGATTCCCGAAGGTATCACAGTGGGAATAAACTCCGAGTGATCAACCACAACCCTGCTCGGTAAAGAACGCAAGGTCAGCATGCACAACCAGATTCTAGTGACCAAGACCTGATTTCGGCAAAAATAGTGTTTTGCATAGGAAAATAACTCAAATCTGGTCGATGGAAACTGAAAAAGCACCAAACGGCAAAACGGCATGGCAAGCGGGCCTCCTTGACACCAAGCCCGACCTCAATCACCAGAAATGAGGCTGCAAGAACTTGCAAGTTCCTGCAAAGAGGCGACCACATCCTAATGATTGAAGTAGATGGCTTATTTGTTCCTGCAAGTAAAGGGAAGAATAAATCCAACATTCTGAGTTCGTGCCCACTTTCACACCAGGGTAACCAAGCAACTGACCAACACCATTCGCTCCCTCCGTGCCTCGCTTGCTCGGCAAGGCTGTCCTAGGGAACAAGACGGAACTCGCCACGAGGGGCACGGAACTCGCCATGCGCCGATCAAGGTATGCGAGGAACCATCGAATGAACATGCGACAAATTGCGAGGCTCCTCTCTCATGTGAAATGCTATCGCTACATGGCTTGCGCACGTATGCAACTTACATGGCTTTCCTCATTCAATCGACCCAGATAATTCAACGTTGATCAGGGAGGTGTTCCAGAATTCGCTCTTACATGGGACCTATTAATCAACCAGAGGTTCACTAATCCAGGGGTCCAAGTAACGCTGTCAACGAAACTTGTGCACTTCTCAGCGTCAAAACCTTCAGGGCGATGGCTGCATGAAGTTGATCGCTGTCGACTGCCCGACGAAAGAATTTCACAAAGGCCCCGACCAGAGCTGCTACTATTCTAGTAGAGAGGTTAGAATAAGGGTACCAACTGTGTTTTGTTTCTTTCTTTCTTTTTCTCCTTTTTGTTTTTCGTAGTCTATTTTGGAAGAACCCTCCCTTCCAACCAAAAAATGGGAGAGAGGGTTCCCCCCCTCCCCCGTCTATGATCTTTTTAGTGGGGGCAACCCTCCCTTCCCCAAAAAAGACCTAGCTGGGGGACCTGGTTATTGCTCGCCTTGCGGAATGCCCCCCCCCCTTTCAACCGCATTTTCCCCCACTTTTTTCAGCTGCAGTGAGCGGGTCCTCAAATGCTTCTGCCACAGCGAGAAGGTCAGCGTGAAGACCTCAGCGAGTCTTGAGGACTCAGCGAGTCTTTCGAGGACCGAAAGTGCATCATGTGTCTAGTCAACCCTCTTCAGCGTTTTCCGCAGGAATATGATTGCATATATTATATGTGGAAGAGGGCGTGGGTGGAGGCCAGATCAGCCTTCAATGTTCAACCCAACGTGCCCACCACACACAGACACATCTGTTCATTCTGACCAGCAGCAGTGTTCACAACATGAACTATTCTCCATCATGTGCCCTCTCTGCTTCCCGGACTACGGCAAAGGATAAATAGTGCTTGCATACAAGCCCTTGTGAATCCGGTCATCCGGGCATCAGGCTAGTCCCCAAATGGTTCAATGTTCATGAGAAACAGGTGTATATCGATTTAGCAAACTTCGCCCGTAGCATTGACTGTCCCAGAATGGTGTCAAAGCCAAGCATCCAGGAATCCTGATGAAGTCTGGTAACTGGTTACGGATCCCTGGTTTCCCGTGGCTCGCTTGCGGTTTTGTTCTCAGGACTCATACAAAAGGAGGCTGGACTCCATTACTGAGCCGCGAAATGGGACCGACCAGCCCGAAGTCCCTCTGATACCAACATGGGGCTTTATGCCCTCGAGCGCCAGCAGCCCGAACTCCCTCCCTCTGATACCAACATGGGCCATCTGCCCATGGGGCTTTACGACTTTTCAGGGGGGGTTCTTGGCCTCGCAGAAAGTGGCCGCCAGACACCAGGTGAACTTTTTCCGCCATGGGGCCCAAGTGTTACTCAACGTGGCCAGGGCTCAAAGAACTGGAACCCCCAACAAGGGAAGGCCCGAAATCAACCGATGGCACTTATAAACCATACTTGGAAGCAAGAATGGCTCACGAATGGCTCGCCCAAAATGGCACCTTGCTTTGGTTTTTGTTTTTTTTGCAATCCTGGGACCAAGACTAAAATTCCTGGCCACCGCAGCTGTCCAGCTGTTAGTTTTGAGCCATACCCATTTCCCTCCATGGCCTCGCAGGCCATAATCTGCACACTCCTGGCACACACCAATGAGCGACAGGAACGGGGTGGTAGCCGAAAGGGAAACATCCCTTTGGTCCTCCGGTAGAGAGGATAGAATAAGGGACCCGATTTATTTTGTGTAGTCTATTTTAGTAGGAAACCCTCCCAACCAAAAAAGGGTAGAGAAGGGCACTACTGGCAAACCTAGTTTACCCCCGGGGCAAGCAAGTTGGCCCTCTTTGTTTTGGTGGGAAAGAGAGAAGGTGCCGAGTTTTTGCTTCGTGACACCCCGTATTCGTCTGATTTCCATCAGAGGTCTTTCTTGATATTGACTTCGACGTAATCCGTAGGACCCCCCCCCAAACATTCCAAGTACCTTCTGAGGACGTACTCAGAAGGTGGAAATGGGTCAAAGTACATCCTCAGGATTGGAGCCGCTATAGTCAAAGGGATGCCCCTAATTGACATGAATCAAGTGCCCACTGATTTTCAGGAACCAGCCTTGGTTCGTATGATCTTCTGGATTAATCCGAAGTCATTCAAGCGGTCTTCCAAGTAGGACTAGTAGGGAGGGCAGCAGAACGAGCCCCGCAAAGCATCTGGGTGGGTTGTCCAAACAGAAAAAGGTCTCCAATCCTGATCCACAATCCGTGGGATGCCACAATAGAAACCACTACCATTCGGCATAAGGATTCAGGATTGATTTGTTCCATGTGTCAAAATACGCGGACCCAAACAATTGTGAATTCTTTCGTGGTCCTCTTGGTTTCCCCTTAAACCAAGCTCAAAAAGGTAACCTATAGAAACAAGCACACGCGCGCGCACACACAACCCACCAAGCATTTTGAACAACCCGGTCAGCTCCAGTAAAGCCTCCAGTTTTGTCTTGCCGCGGTCTCGTCACATCGCCCCGCACTTCAGTGTGGAGCATCACGAACCGCACACTCGCCCGACATATCACCACTTCAATGGAGATAGACACGCGCATGTCTCATGAACCTCCAAGGATAAGCCCCTCGAGTGAACTCGACAAGAAAAGTCTGAACTTATTGCTTGCCACTAAACTGGCCTCAAAAGCATTCAGGAACTCGGGGAGTACCATACTTACGTCCCACCCCCTTAGAGATCCAGCGACTGATGCCCAATGGCCCTCAAGAGGTGCCTTTGACGAAGCAAAGGCACAGTGATCTGCAAACAGAAAACCGTTGACAAACCAAGAGGGGGTGTTTCACGGCAAGAGGAGCAAAAGGGGCGGGGAAAAACCATCACAAGCCCTGCAAAACCAGGGGATATGCTTACAGGTCATTGGCTCGCGGACTGGTCCCAGCCTGCAACTGCTGGGACCCATCGAAGATCGAAACTGGGGCCAGGGTGAAGCCCTTGTAGCTAACACCGAAGCACCCTTCAGGGGGGCTCCTTGACGGGATCCCGCGGGAAGAACACTTGGTCCCAGGAAAACTGAAGGCAACCAAAGGAAACCAAAGCAACACCAAAATATTCTAGGGGACGCTGCCCCATTCTTTCCAGGGATCCTTCTTTCCGGAAAACCATCGGAATCCCAGGAGAAACAGCTGTTTATTGAAAAGAACCATGGTTGAAAAGAATGGAAAAGGAATCAACCCCTAGAATTCTTGGGGGATTCTTGTTTGGATGGAGCCACCCTGATTCTGCATTGCAAGCCGGACGCATTGTGTTGTGTAGCGTCGCCTAGTGCCAAGTCCACGGCCCAATGCTCGACTGGCTTCTGCAAAGGGAACCTCAAGTGCAAACGGCAACACAAGCAATGGCCCCATGGTCGACTGGTGTCAAGGAACCCCCTTCGGATCTTAACACAAAGAGGGTCCTCCAGATTTGAGACGTTAGAATAGGGGTACCTTTTTGTTTTTTTCTGTAGTCTGTGTTAGGGGAACCCTCCCCCAAAACAGGGGAGAGAAGGGCACTACTGGGGGACCTAGACATTTTCCGGGTGTCATGCTCGTCTTTGCCGTAAAGCCAGGAAAAAATAGTCTACAAATCTGTTGTACATCACGGGCCCCTTGTAGCGGCTCATGGCCTCTGTCCAACTCGCAAGGCCAATTGCCGATTCGCCCACTGGCGGAAGAGCTACAGGACCATGTAGCAGAAGAGCACCACCAGCAGCCCAAAGAGGACCACGATCTGAGGGACGCAACATAACAGAGGTTTGAGTGTAGGGCAAACCCAGTTCTGTAGGTTATAACTCTGGAAAATGGGACAGTGGCGGTTGGTGACTGTAATCAACTTGCCCGGTTGAACGTCCAGGTAAGCCCAACATACAATTGGAATACCATCATGTACCAAATTCTCAATCAATGCCATTTCAAAGTCAACATTGGGTTATCTCCCCAAACCAAAGGAAAGTGGGTGGGGGCTCAGAACCAAGTTGATTCAACAGCTGGTTGATTTTGATCTGGGTGGCGTCGCCTATTGGAGAAAGTCCATAACTTTGCGGCGAACCACCCCCATTTTTTTCACCAGGTTGTTTCATCCGAGGTCACCATGGGTCAAACAAGGTTAGGAAAAACCGACCGAACCTGGGCCATGTTTCACCGGTTCCCTCACGACACACCCACTTGAGGGTTCAAAAGCCCGCACAGGCCTTTTGTTGGGACCCCTAAAAGGTGACTGGTTGTTCGGGCAAAACAAGGAGGCGCCCATAAAAGGTCGCACATTTTGGGACCTCTTTCTTGAGCAGAACTCTTCTTGGGGCCCCGGTCCCAACCCATGGGTCCCAAAGCTTGGCCTGTGAGAACTCTTCCTGGGGGTTCTTGGCAAAGAGTTCTACAGATCAGAGGACTGGGCCGAGCGATACAGACCGGACCAAAACCCAAATCCAGACCGATCCAGACATCCGGATCCATACCCATGGCCAAAACGCCCTTCTGCCCCCCCCCCCCCGCCACCCAGCCAGATGTGCTATGGGAACTCAAAAGGAAAACTGTGCAAATAGGGGTCCAAAAAAGACACCCCCATATGGTTTGAACCTAAGCCCAAAAGAAACTCAAGAGAACACAACGCTACAAGGAAACTCTAACCCCCCCCAAAAAAAAAAAAAACGACACTTTTCATCTGCCCAACCCCCCCCCCCCCCAGCCCCCTTCCCCCGTTGGGCGCCAGGCTGAGCAGCCCAGCCACCGATTCCGGTCCATGGTCTGCAACCTCGTCATCATCCTCGGAGCAAGGCGACACGAGACCCAACCCCTGGGAAAAACGGCCCAAGAAACGTCCAACCCCGCCCCCCTCAACTTGGCTCAAAAAAAATCAAGGGGTTCCAAACAAAACCAAAACTCGAAGTTGGGGCCCAAGCCCCAAATTCTTTTGTTGCAAGTCTTGGCAAAACGAGCCAAATGTGCATTTGCAACAAATATTGCAACCTACTTGACGTTGTGAAAACCGCAAAGCCATGGCTTGGGCATGATTGGACCTTTTCAACACTGGCGTCAGTTGGCTTAAGTGGGAAGTGACATCCGCAAAAAAAAATACCCCGCTGAATGCGGATTTTCTGGGAAACAACATGAGTAGTTTGAGAACCCATAAACAGATATTTAATTCAATGGACCCAGCAGTGGTGGGTTTGCCTACCAAAAATAACAGAGTTGCTCCATTAGACACATGCCAAGAGCACCGTAGGCTTCCAGTGGTTCGTTTGGAGGTGTGGAGGTTATGATGTACAAATGTATTGGCCTTGCGGTGAGGGACATGTGGCGGTTTTCCCCCCGAAAAAGGCTCCAATAGATTTAGGTTCCGGGGTGGTTTCCCATCTGTCTACAAACTTCCGGGGTTCATCTCTGGGCCCAAAGAGGTTCATGGGGTCGCGCAGGCTCCCATCTCCGCGCTGGGAGCATTGCGTCGGTCGGGAAAAGGGCTAACTAGGGCAAACCAACAAACCAACAAACCAACAAACAATAGACAACACAAACAAACAAACAAACAAACACACAAGCAAGCAAGCAAGCATACATACAAACAAACAAACAAGCAACAAAAACAAGCAAACACGCCACACGAATTTTGGGTGTTTATGAATTCTACAGGGGAGGTATTTCTGTCCCGGTGATTGTACCCTGAAAAACCGCAGCCCGCAACGAGGGTGTGCAACGGGAATGGACCCAAGAGGAACGAAGTCGGTCTTGTGGGTTTGCCTTCAACAACCCAAAGCCCACAGCCACCAAATTCACCGGTTGAATTCGTTTTGGTGTCCATTGAAACCGGAGCTGTCCTCAATTTCCCTAAAAGTTCAAAGCATCAGGTTGCAGCTGCCCTGTTGGGCTTCTTTGTGCGGCTCCGGTTTCATGGAATCGGATGGTTCCACGCTTTCACCAGCCGGCTCTTCGCAATTGTGCACCAAAACCTAAGGAACCGACGGCTGGCTCCGAGCCGCCCAGAAACCAAGGGACCGGGTAACCACGAAAAGACGGGCACTCAGTAACAGCGAAAACGTGTCACTGGCGACTGCTTTCCTTTCGAAGCAACCCGCTGAGGCAATCCGCAAAGGGGCACCAACTCTCAAGCCAACCCGCCGCCATCGGCAAGCGAGCGGTATCAGGCGCCCCGGCGAGCGCGCGCGGGTCAGGCGGGAGGCGGTGCGGTCCGCTGTCTGCAGTTGTTTCTTTTGACAGGCTCTGTGGGTGGTGATAACAGGCATTCCCAGGGAAAATTATCCGTGAAGTTATGTATATATATATAACTAATTGCTGGGGGTCTCCAGAAATCTGCTTTGACATATTCTCGGGTAGACTAAATATGAAACAGAATCAGAGCATAGTGTGTTTAGTGTCCTGGGGTTGGGACAAGTTTGATCTCCCTTGTTTTGTCTTGCGCTGCTGTTCTGATGTTTTTGTGTGTTTTTCTTTGAATTGGATTCTCTTGTTTCCCTGTATTTCATTCAGCTATCTTTGTGTGTATCTGTGCCTTTCTTTTGAACACATCCCCGTGGAATGTTACCAGCCATGCGTCACCGCCCAAATGCAACACGCTAGCTGAAAAATGATATCGAGCAGCTATTATTCTTTCTCGCTGAGCTGGCTGTTGGCAACACATTTCACGATTGTACACAGCTTAAGCATCTTCAGTGGTTGAGTCGCCGCGCCTGTCTGATTGAAAATAACCAGAACCCTCAAAGACAATAAATTTGTTCTACAAACAATTAGGTGTCTCTCCCTGGACCCTCAAACTACCCTTCAATGGGCAATAGTCCGATTCCCAACATGTTGGCTCCATTTGCTTCTTTGTTCCGGTGCGTCATTTTTTTGGGGACCCCCAAAACCCTTGTTTTCCTTTTGGTTTCCCTTTAAAACCGCAAAAGAAGGGGCACCCATTTGTTAGGGTAGGGGTCCAGGTCTTCACTTTCAGCCAAGTGAAACCTGCTTTTGATTTTTCGTTGCCTGGAAAACATCGTTAAATGGATGCGTCTGTTTTGGGGGACCCCCAAAATGGTGGTTCCCTTGGAACCGCAAAAAGAACGAGCGTCCGCAAACAATGACACCCCCAAATATGTCCAGTGATCTTCCCTTTGACACCCACCGAGGGAAAATGCATAAACTAATTCTAACACGCAAATGGAAGGGTTTCGGATTTCTGGTTTTGGTTTTCAGGCGGGCCTGATTGGCGGTGTCCAGAAGCCGATTCTGCAGCGTGATCTCGCTCCGGATCATGGAGCTCACCTACCCGGACTGCTGAGTCATCAAAGGGGCGAAGGCACCCAAAACACATGGCTTCAAGAGCTGCTTGGTTGACGTTGGAAGGGGAGCAAAAAACAGTTGAGTGGTTGGATTTCCACCACTAAACCACAATTTGCGCAACAATGTAAAGTGTTTGCCAACATCAACCGTGCTTTGGTGGACATCATTTAGGTGATTCATGGCCATATATGGGCCCCAGTGAACATCAACATCCCAATCCCCTCTCCTGGTTGCCCAAGCTACCCGAATCGGTTTTGGTAACCGCCTCACCTGAAAAGCCTGGCAGGAAATGATCAGCCGACCTCAACCCCAGCCGCCTCCATGTGCGCTTTCATCCCCTGGAAAACTGAGAAGAACCGAGTTTCCGGTCATTTGTGAAATCCACTCCCTCTAAGTAGCCGAGGGGAAAAATTACCACACATGATGCTTGAAGCAAATAAACTCGGGGTTTGGGCTCCGTTTTCCTGGAAGTGGCCGATGAAACAAGAAGGCCACAAGGGTTGGTAACCGGAGGAGTGGATTGGAGGGAAAAAGTCACCGAACACTTGTTACCACTAGAACGGTCCAAACCCAAAAATGTGAAGAATTCAGTAACTCAGGAAGTGAGCGTATCTAAGTGGTGAAAGTTGACTTCGACTTCGAGTGAAATTGCAGAATTTCCTCCATCTTCAAGTCTACAAGTCTAAAAGTCCACGGGAAAGGTCTTGCAGGACATGTTCTGGTGCTGTAAACCATGCAGGAAAGGAACCTGGGCCAGTAAGAGGCACTTGTTCTCTTAATTCCTATGGCGATCAAGGACCACCCAAGAGGCATGCAGCAAGCAAGTAATAACCATGGTTGTAAATTTGAATTTGGCAACAAAGCTTGGTGGTCATGTAACCCTGGTGACCAAACCTACTCAAGCGGGGTGAGCATCCAACTGTCCTTAATCAGCGAATGCGTTCCAAAGCCGGGCAAGGCGATTTGTGTTGGTTGAACATCCAAGGAGGCGAATCTAAGGGGACATGGGGGGTTCGGCCGGCTCGGACACCCTTTCGCCAAACATGACAAAGTCCCGAAAGGTGCAGGTTGAGCCGCGCTGTTGGGACCCCAAAAAGGAATCGACTACACTGGCAAGTGTGTTTCTTCCCAGGATTCCAACCGAAGAACCCCTCCAGTAGAGAGGTTAGAATAAGGGTACCCTGTTTTTCTGGTGGAACCCTCCCCCCAAAAAAGTTGGGATAGAAAGGGCACCAATTGCTGGGGAACCTAGGCAGGGTCCTTCAAACAAACGCCGAAATGTTCGCTTCTGCCACTTGTAGGCCGAGATCTCATGCCAATCCTTCTTGCTTGGCTTGCGCTCAAGAAATCCCTCAACTGGAAGGAACACCATGTGGGTGTCTGTGTGTTGCGTTTGTTTCCTGAATATCTGACTAAACAGGGCTGTCCGTTTTCTGATCCCCTGCTAAAAGTGACCAACCTTTGTGGGTTATAAAAATGAAAAGCCGACCACTCCGACAAAAGTCCGAAAAAAGCTACGGAGCCGCACGCCTGGGCTTGCCAAGTCAAGGAACACGCGCCCCTTTTTGGGGGAGGAAGCCCAGGGACTGTGCACGAAGTTCACTGGACCCGGGACCTCAGTCTACGGGTTGATGGCACCCATCGAAGTGGAGCATTTGGAAAACCCAGCCTTGGCCGCCCCCCCCCCGCAGTTCATGGCCATGCACACTCAAAATCGGAGAAGAAAAAAAACGAGGCTGGGTCCCAGCATCCACCAGAGACTCTAGGGGTTGATTCCTTGTCCCTTCTTTGAAACAAAAATCCCTTTCAAAAAAAACGGATCTCTTTCTTTCCCCCGGGTTTTTTTCGTTTTGGCTTAGAAAGAAAACCGGATCCCGTTCCGCATGGAGGAAGGTCGCCCTCAAGACGCCGTCGGTCGCCGCGAAGGTCCGGACCTCCGAAGTCCTCCGGTCCGGGCGGCACGGAAGAACGGCGCCGGCCTGCTGCAGGTTGTTCACCGAGCCCTCCAGCGCCGACAGCGGCTCCTCCATGTCCCTGGCGGAGTCTCTTGTTTTGGACCGAAAAAATGGAAAGGAAACTCCCTGGTTTTGGAGTCAAGGTTTTCAGGAAACCATCAAAAACCCAGGGGAAACAGATCCGGTTTTTGAAAAGAATGATGGTTGAAAAGAGGTGAGAAGGGACATAGGTGTCCTAGGTCCTCCAGATTTGAGAGGTTAGAAGAAGTTGGTACCAACGATTTTTTTCTGGACGTCTATTTTAGTAGGGGAACCCTCCCCAAAAAAAAAGGGCAAAGAGCTCTACTGGGGGACCTAGCGTTGATGGTTCGCATAGGGCTTGTTGTTAATTCCCAACTGGTGCAACGTTCTGTAAACCCAACGAATCAGAGTCTGCAGAGGGGTCATGACCCTGCAGGTACTTGGTGTAAAAAGTCAGCCCCCTGATTTGCTTTGGAATACTTGTTGAGTTGTTGCAAACGCACTCGCTTTGGCCCGGGTTTCTTCGTTTTAGTCAATGCTGCTGGCTCCGCCCAGAGGATCCGTTGCAGAACAATTCCCCGGTGGGATCCGTTTTAAGTGTGGGAGGAAGGGAAACGAAAGGGACCCCCACCGTAAAATGGGTTGTCCGGATGCCTTAAAGACGACACACCCAAATAGAAGCGGCCCGCTCTTATTCTCTACCATAGGGTTCGCGCAGACCCTTGATATCTGTTTTTGATTGAGGCTACGGACCTCCATCAAACCAGGAGAAAACTCCGACCTTTTTCCGGGTATTATTTGGAAAACCTGGCTTTCTCCATGGCAGATACCTCTTGACATCATACCCTGAAAAGAGCAAGTCGGGTATTTGGAGCAGGTAAGATATTCATGCACCCTGTCTTTGTCTGAACCTCCAAAACGCTGGGGTTCCACACGTTGATTCCCTGGAAAACTTCCCTTCGCCTCATCTGCTGTTGCTGGCGTTCCAGCATCTGCCGCTGTGAGACCTCGGACGAGGTAACACCTTGCCTTCCACATGCGGCATGGCCAAAAAAATACTCGTGTCCTTTGAAGGGGAAAAAATCGTGTCTCCTGGTGTTGTAGGAAATTTCGTGCGTGCCTCATGTGACTTTTAAATGGAACATAGACTTCTGGAAATGCTGGCCAAACCTTACATGGTAGGGGTAATTAACAGTGTGCGGTAACATCTGGGGTACCAGGTACCAGTTGAGAACATGGAGTGACAATGTGGTGGGGGCTTATCCACATCACTCCGACATGTTGGCAGGGAAAACGCCCAAGCAGGTGGTGTCACTTGAAAAATGATCTGTTTCGCTGATCTAGCCGGATGGGTTGGTTCCGACTAGCTGGGTTGGGTTGCCGCATTTCGCCTCAAAGTTGCAGGTACCCCAATCAGCCCCTGATACGGATCCTTTTGGTACGCTTTTCTCGCAGACCCATGTCAAAAATCCGATCCTCATTGGTCTAAAAACGAGCGGTGAAGGAAAGGCTTTGGATGGCTTCGGGTTTGGTGAGGCCCTTTTGCTAGCCGATTCACAACAATTGGATATAAGCCTGAGTCGTACTGATGGACGAAATCCATTTCGCACCACCTAAGAAACCATGGCAAGCCATTGTTGCTATGAGGGAAATGTTCCTCGTCCAATCAGCCCCCGAACTGCTATCGCTCAAGAAGCCTTGAGCAAAACCGCGGGCCAAACGCGAAAGAAGGCCGCAAGAGTTGGGAAGGACGTCCGGAGTGAAGTGGTCAAACCAAGTGCAAACTTTTTCTTTTACCACTAAAATGGTCCGAACCCAAAAAGTTGAATTACAAGTCCACGAACTCAGGAAGTCAGCTCAGAGCATCTTTCAGCTGAATGCAATCAAGCTACTGGCTGCATCTCTGCGCCTGCCAAGCTCCGGACGAGCAGAGCATCCCCCGAAAACTCGCTTCCCGCAGCAGCACGTAGCCCCCCCAACCTCACTTTCTGAGTAGATTGGACAACAAACTTATATGCACTTTCTATTTGCCACTATGACTCTGTGTTCCCCAAAAGTGCAAAGTCCAAGATTTCAGGAAGTGAGCTTGGAGGAAGCCATGTTCCAAAAGGTGACTTCCAGTCAGGTCCCCTCTGACCGTTGCAGGACTCGGGTTTTGGACGGGCCTTCATGGAATCGGGGAGCGTGCCACCCCCAAATCGGAAAGAGCTCGTGGCTTTTTTTGTTTGGCCAACAAGTCCCTCGAAAGCGGATTCTTGCAGCTACGGATACATGGGTCAAAAAACAAAAACCTCCAGGGGAGGGCAGGTTTTAGTGCTTTCCATTTACCAGGGTTCCTAAAACGGGTACCTAGTTTTGACCCAAATTCCAAACCTTTGTGAGGTCACGATAGCAATTGCCCAACTCACCTCAGCCATCGCCCAATCGTCAAGCTAGATAGGGGTGTGGCTCCAAAAACCGGAATTCCAAAATGGGTTGCCCTGGTAAGTGGAGACATGGGTACCAAAACCCGCGGTTTGCCCCTCCTGCTTAATTTTGAGCCACAGCCATATAAACCAACGCAGGCTGCGGCCTTGTCCCAGGAGACGTGCCGTTTCTATAGATTCAAGGGTTACCGGTTTGGGGCCCAAAAGGAAACAACAAACCGTCCAAGTGCGCTGCTCGCACATTTTCACGCTTGAACAGCCACACTGCGGATGCAATGGATGTAAAACCCCATACTGACCGATCAAATTCTTCACCCCCCTCTGCGTGTTAAAGGGGCCTTTCACAAAGCAGCCAAACAGTAACACAACAGAGGGAAAAGGTCAGGGGAACCATTGTTACGTGCAAACCATGACAGTTGCGCTTTCAGCGCCACTGCACAGTTGAATAGTTACCGCTACTGTTGCCCCATCCGCTCCATCCGGACCAATTCTGCCAGCTGCCTTGGCTCCAATGCTCACCCTCGCGGGCGGCGGGAGCACTTGTCTCGGCATAGCGAGCGGCATTGCGAGCAAGGTGTTTGCTGCTCTCGTTCCTCGAAAATTCAATCGAGTTACGTGCATACCGCTCATTCTGGCTGAAAATCCAGTCCATCTCGTTGCGGAGGTCGTCCAACGTGTTGCTTCGCAGATGGATGATGCCATTCCAACAACCGATGCTGCGAGGCTGGTCTTGCTCAAAAACCACGTTGATGAAAGCTCTCGGGCTATAAGGCATCCGATCCAGCGAGAGGAAAGCGCATCTTGAAGTTCGTTGGGCAGGAACTCCAACTCTGTCTTGATATACGCGAGCCTTGCGATTCGCGACTCCGAAGTTGATCCAAGGCCAACTCCCAGAGTGCGCTGGGCTTGCGACTGCTTTGGAGCAGCCAAGACGAGATTTGCGCTCAACTCCATGCGGAGCATGTCCGCCTCCCGACGGCCCACCTCAAGCATACGAACCCTGTATTGAAGGTCGAGTTCATAGCGGTCAAGCAGAGAGTGGTAGCCGTTCTTCAGGGCGGACTTGAGCTTCTTCCGTGCCTCCTGAATGACAGCACTGTCCGGGGAGTTCAAGCCACGAATGATGCTGCTACGATCCTCCTCGCGGAGGTCAAATGTTCCCACAGATGCCAGGACCTGAGCTGTGACGTGGGTGCTGAGGCCCATCTTCTTCAGCAGATTGGAACGCTGCACGATGTAATTCTTCTGTTGCTCTTTCAACAGGCGTGGATTGAGGGGAGACAACTGCCCACATGATGAGCAGTGCACCTGCCCCTCGAATACACTGTTGTTGCAAACCGGGCACGTGGCGACGTTCAGCTCAACGTTCTCCATTGGGTTGAAAGTCTTCTGTCTCTTCGCTTCCCCTTGCGGGGCGCGAGGAGAGGCCACATTTGTGCGCGTTGTAGCAATACGTTCCAGCGCTGTTGAACGATCATCAACCACGGCTTGGTCGCGCCTCATTCCCTGGGGTTCATCCTCAGTCGCCTCAGCTGGTGCACCTGCATCCGATTGCTCGGAGCGAGTGTACCATACATCGCCATTTGTAGCGTCCAATACAGAAATAATCGTGTAGTTGGGCACCTTGTCGCGCGTAAGGACGCCGTCGCTCTCCGTCTTGAAAAAGCAAAGCCCTGCGCGAATGGCCATTCTGAGGTCGATCTGTATCTCCAGGGGTTTGTTCGCACGTACACCTGAGATGTAATTTTCATTCGTGCTGGGGACGTCAGCGAAGAAAACGTGAGGTCGTCCTGTCTCGTGCTGGTCCCCTCCTCCTGGCAGCAGACCGTTCCGCATGATGTTAGCGAAATTTCGCTTATCAGTGCGGTGATAAAGCACAGTTGGAGGGTTGCTGCAAACGTTCCAGCCAGACCAGCGCCCGAGGTCAGTCCCCGGGTTCACGTACCACTCCTTCGCGATGCCGGAGTCGTCAATCTGGAGCCAGTCCTCGTGGCCTTGAGAGGCCTTCAGCTTGAAAAGCCAATGAGAACATGGGACGTCTCCGCACCGGCTTGCGTCCGGGCAACCAAGGCCAATGAATCTCTGCTTCTTGTCCAGCTTGAAGATATCCATGATATTCTGAATATTCCATGGAATGGGATGTCGCAGCTCCTTGCGAAGCGCGAGTCCCAGGTCTTCGAGGTCCATGTAGCCGTCCTCATCCATCACATACCCGCATCCTTCTGTTCCACGACCACGGAGGATCTTGGAGATGCACGTCAGGGAACGGTGGTATTCGTCACTGATTCTCCTGACGGAAGGGTCGTAATCGAAAGAGGGCTGCTTGATGATGTCGAGTCTCTTGGGGCCCTCACCGTAGTCGACATACTTCACGCCATCATGAATGCTATACACCCAGCAGTCATAGTGGCCCCCAGTCACGCTCCTCCCGTAGGAGTCGAGTGGTACCGGCCTGCTCGCCGCCTCGTCCCTCTTTGCCACCGCAGCCGCCTTTGCACCGGCTTGCGCCGGGCGAACACTTTCGGAAACATCTGCACCGGAAGGCTCACCTGAAGTTGCAAACTCGGCTGGGTTGACGGGGGCGAAGTCGAGAGGCTGCCGGACTTCCACTTCTTCACGGGTGAAAGGGAGCTCGATCATCTCTGACAAAGAAACACCGCACTTCGTTAGCGTCTCCTTGCAGTACGCGAGAACCTCAACGTTGACTGTGCAATCTTCTTGGTGGCGCACCTCGAGCACATCGATCGGACGCACGGTACAGTCGTGCGAACGTGTCAGCTCGGCTACGCTGCCCATTGCGGGGCGCAAGATAGAAAGCATATACAACATGTGATGGGTTCCGCGCATGAACTGGACGGTCTTCGTGATGTTGTCGTCACTGAAGCACATATGATACCTGTCCAGCAAATCGATGGTCTCGACAAAGGGTGTAGCATCTACGTACACGAACATATGATTGGGGTCGCCGATGATGTAATCCCGGACTTCCGTCATGTAACGGTCCCAAATCATAGAGAAGCCGTAGAGATAGCTTTTCGCGCCGGTCATGACTCCAAGGCATGCGCAGCCCTTGCGGGCCGCGAAATCCCTGGTCCAAGCCAGGTGCCTCTTGGTGTCTGCCAGCAACTGACTGGCCTCGCCGGCGGGGTGGTCGAACGGGTAGGTGCCGCTGGGCTCAATGCCGTCCTTCCCAACAAGCTCATTGCCGTTCCAATAAATCATCGGAACGATGGTCGCCGTTGGGTAGTCCGTACGCACCTCGTCGATAAGGGCGGCCATGCGCTTGCACAGCTGTTGTAAGCCCTTGCCCCAAAGCATTTCTGACCTCCATGCACCGACACGCGCCGGGCGAGAAGCATCCAAGCGTTCTGCAAAGTCATACTTGCGAAGCTTCTTCTTCTTGCCCGAAACCATTGAAAGTCCTGAGTCAGCGACAGTCAAATAGATAAGGAGGTCGCGATCTGGTACACGTGGGGCCTGCACAACCTTCAAATAAGGTTCGCTTATAGTTAACAGGGGTGTAAGCAACTGCAAATAATGCGGTTGGTCCTGCACCCATGTATGAATAAGCGACTGTGCAGAGGTCGTCTCCAGGAGGCCCTTGACCGTAGCGGCGAGGTTAGCGTCGTACTTGCCGTTCGTGCATACCGATGTGGTAGCAACATTCTCCATCCACCGCCTCCATGCCGGATCGCAATCCCTCGCGGGATGCGCCATAGCCGTTGGGCCGCTCATTGCGAAAACGATGCAGCACAATCACTCGAAAGCAACGGCTGCATGGTGGCATGTTCGGAAAATGCATTGTGAACGGCATCAGTGTAAATGTACGTGTATCCCTCGGCTTCCTTCAAGTGGGTGCCACGGCTTTCATCATGCTCGTGAGAACCATCACATTTGAAGTACTCAACAACGGAAATAGTGGGCATATTGCTGGCAACGACCCATTGCTTTTTCATTGATTTTCCATTTCTCCCTTTGATGCCGATTTTGCAACCATGGAATTCATACTTGTTCATCTTGTACTTAGTTAAGAAACTCCATAGTTCAGGCCATTTCCAATAACGACATGCCTTGGGGAGTTCGAAAGCAACTCTAATGTCATTTGAATAAACATCATTGAGAATGCGTTTGAACCCTCGGCCCTCAATCTTGGCAGCACCTTTGGGAGTTTGCTGGTTGACATAACCCCACGGGCAACCTCCAGTGCATGGCAACGAGACGTAGAACATGATTGCGCCCTTAGGATTCTTGCTCCTGAATTCGGCGATTTCACGGCCTAACCACTGCCTGCACGTATCGGAGCACCCGTCTTCGGTTTCCGTTACCCGAATGACACGGCAACCTTTTGAAGAGTCTCTTGATTCGCCCAACCGTGAGGTCGTCGAACAACAGAATTCAATAAGGAGGCGCTTGGGCTGAACGTTGCATAACGCAGCGATCTGCCCCCCCTGATCGCTAACTTCTCCGGCCTTGGCGCATGGGG